ATCTAAAAATGATGACAATAATTCAAGATGATTTTTGAACCAGCGCGCGGAAGAAAATTAAGTGGTGAACAATAAAGACAATAGAGTGTTATGTCTCGGAACCATCGGTCTGATAGTCGCCCCTTGGAAATTTGATGTTCTTAAAACTGGCATATTTGCCCTCGAAGCTTCGCTTGTCGGGCGAATATCTGTTTTAAGAACATCAAATTTCCGCGGGGCAAGTAACAGCCGATAGTTCCTCGACAGAACCACTCTATTGTTTAAATAGGACATCACGGGCAACCGTTTCCAGCATTTTTCACCACGTCTACTTTGATCAATAGGTCATTACTACCATTCGTTTTCAGTTGACCAAGCAATTATGCCATGGAGCAAATGCGATGAACATACTTGCTGAAACACCCTTATTTTTTTTTAAGTGCTGATAGCTCAAAAATATGTAAGGTGAACTCATTTTGTCATCGGCAGATTGCAATCGGCACGTAAAAATCTAATTTATAACAAAGATTAGGAAAATTTGTGGTAGCAATTTTTGATCCACCTTAGATTTTAGAAAGGCCAAAGTGGTGTTAAACCCCGTCCCACAACTGCATGTTTGAAACTTGGCAAGATATTGTATTTCAAAATGCTTTCTTCAATTTGGTAATAACAAATGAGGGTTTTTGAATTTGTTTCGAGTTAGAAGTACTTAAGGTACAGTTGACGGAATTTCTGAAGTCTGAGATGACTACCAGTGAATACCAATTCATCCACGCTGGACCGGACACGGATTAAATCAAATTTATTTACAAGCAGAACAACGACAAATTATTGATCGGCTACAGTCCTTGTAAGTCGGATGTTTGATTTGGTCCAAACCATCTTTGTGCACGTGCGCATATTTGCTTTAAGCGTTGGAGAACTTTAATTCACCAGGCAGGAATTGCTAACGACATGCAGTTTTGTGATGACATCGAGATATTACCTGATGTCTCCCCTGAACGTACCTCTTGATCCCTTTTCCATTCTTTTTTTGTTTCCCCGCAAAGAGCCTGCCCGCAGACTATACTGTGTTAATCGAATATCATTCTCTGCATGTTATTAAGCAATATTTACAAACAGTCAATTACGCAGTTGACCCCTATATATACTCCGCATTCCATAACATTTTTCTTGCGTGTATAATATAATCATTTCTAACCGATATCGAAGTTAGTGTCTAAACCTCTCTTTTACCACTCAAACATGAAAATATGGCCCATTTCTTTATGTGGTATGATACGCGCGCTCGCAAAAGTTCGCAAGAGTTTAAAAATGAAACGTTCTTTGGACATCTTTTGCGTTTTACGAATCCTTCACGCACTCTGGACTGTTTATAGCTGCTGACGTCACTAGACTACGTGCAGAGGCGCACTCGTTGTAATGTTGTTAGTCATATAAAGCCTAGCACGCTTCCTCCAAGTCACTTCTGAGTAAGTCTTTAACTGTCGATCATGTCCTCGATTGTTAGCGCCGTGTTTAAAGCCACTATCGGCTTACTTGTGAACAAAGGCAGAGATAAGGCAGCAGAGAAGCTGAAAGATGGCGATGTGACAGATGAGAGAATTCGAGAGCTGATCGTACGCGAAATAGACGACATCAAATCCAAATTGGAAGGGCTGGCAAGAAGAGATCTTTTAACTAGTATCAGCTACTTCAGAAGAGGTGTTGGGTGCCTTTTTGAGCTGCTCGACAAGGCAGAAAGAAGCAACCACGGTTCAACAAAGAATCTAGACTTCGGCTTGCGCTCAAAAGCAACTGCAGCTGCAGGAAAAACGGTTTCGTTGGCCGAGGGTTTCAAAAAGTTGACACTCACTGACTTGGACGATGATGACAAAAGGTTACTGACGAATTCTAAAGAAGAATTCAAGATAGCATGTTTGAAAGCTACAGAAGCCTTCAACAATGAGGCTCTAAGCACGTCTGATCGCATTCAAGCAATGGTTATTCGTGTTGCGGCGACAATACTAGAGAGAGTTGACTATCCGCAGGACGCCCTAACAGCATGTAGGCTGTGCCTTGAAGAGCTTCATTCCATGCCTGCAGTTCAGGGCAGTTTTGCCGTCGAGTTCAAGAAAGGCTTCTGGGCTCGGTTTAGTAAGGCTGTACGCAGTGAAATTATTGTTACTGTCTATCGCTTAAATCGCGTTATTTACGATGTCACGCTAATGGTGTGCGGAGACGTCAACCGTGACATAATCTCAATTTGGCCTTGTGTAGACTTCAGAGGGGAAAACGTTTACGTATTACACGACCCCAGGGTGAGGGAAAGTCTACGGAAACTGGGTGTGGGACACTATTGGGACCCAGTTCAATGGACTTTTGGTCAGGGGAGGCTGAAAGCTCCAGTGTGTGTTGCTTCAAACAGCGAAGGAGAGTTCATCGTTGCAGACCGGCAGGAGGGAGTATCGGTGTTTGATAACACCGGTCGAAACATGTATTTTCTTGAAGCCCCGCCATGGGACGTGATTGTACATGATGTAAGCACAGACAACAGCGACCGCATCTATGTACTTATGAAACTTTTACCCCGTTATCCGATATCGGATCTATTTGAGTTAGACCAAATAGAATTCAAATGTGCTTGGGTCTATTGTTATGAAAAGAACTCAAGAGAGCATTTGAGTTACTTTCCCTTGAGGACCCTGAGGACCTTGAGGGAGCAAGCACAATACCACTCTCTCACAGTTGGCGACAACAACAACGTGCTGGTGTTGGGTAGTGAGATTAAGCAGTCGGGAACAGAAGTGGCCGTGTTTGAGCCTGATGGACAGTTTGTTCGGACGTTTGGAGAAAGAATTTTGAAGGATGCATTGGACATCTCGGCTGGTAATGATAACCGTGTCATGGTATTAGACAGAGATGGGGCCTGTGTCCAAGTGTTTAGTGAAGATGGCAAACACCTTTTCCATTTTCAACTTACAACATCTTTCCGATGTTCTAAGATTGCATTTAACCGATCAACTGATTGTGTTGTAGTCGCTGCCGATAGAAAAGTGTTAATATACACCAAAAAGGGTCAGTATATATACGATTTCAATGTTAACGCAAACAAGATTCAAGGGATATCAGTGTTTGATCATCGCATTGGGTTGGCTTGCACTGATGAAAATGGGACATCTAAAGTACATGTCTTGGGTCTATAGAATTTTTAACAAGTCTATTAGTTAAAGAAGGGTAAATTTCGCCACAGTAACGAAATGTTTTTTTTTTAGAGAGTCGCTAGTGACGAAGAAGACGTTTTCGCTGATGAATTAGCCTAAGCTGAAATTACATGTAAGCAAGGCAAAACGCAATGTAACGTACATTAAGTTCAGTTATTTCTTCAGGATTGACTTGTCAATTAATCCTGTTGTTTTGGTCCCAAATTCGCCCAATAAAATGTGATATAAGTTCATTCTACTGCCAATAAATTTTTAATGACTGAGCCACACGAGTCCAAGCAAGAGTTCGAGAGGCTCAATTGTTACGAAATCTACACGGTGGACACTCGTTCATAAGTGGTGTTCCTTTTCTGTCATTTTGTAAACCAACAGAGTTTCTAAGTAATTAACCTGGAAAGTGTATCTTTTGAATCTCAGGTTATTGTCCCGTTATAGGTAGACTTTTGTAGACTAGTTCATGAAAAAATGACTGTATCTTTTGAACAATCTTCGTGAAACTTCCCGATCTTCCAGGAATCAGCGTTTCAGTTCAAATAGCTCGAACAGGTCACGCACATTTTTCATCAAGATACTTGGGTGACTTTGAGCCATTTCCGGTCCATTTTAAAACGACAATTCTGTGACATGCTATTTGGTTTATAAATACATGTAGTGGTTATGTTCATTTGTTGGTGTTATTTTCTTTTCGCTGTGGCTAAATGGCCGGTGGGTGGTCAAGGTCTTCAAAACATTAAATGACCGGCATTTTGATATTTTTGATAAATTTAAGGAAGCGAAGGAACCCATCCACTCAAAACTACGTTTTGTCGATTAAGAACTGCCAAGCGATCCAGAGAGCTTTGTAGATCGAAAGTATAACGCTTGGTTTATGCTGGGCTCAGAGAGGGAAACCATGGTTTGTGACACTTAGATCTTTTTTTAGGTCGACTGCCGCCCAAAGGTTTTCAGATCATTAATCGTGACCGGCAGTCCATTTTGACAAGTTTAAGAACTGCCATCAAGTAAACAGAGCGGCATGGCATGGAAGGAACGAAAGAGAAAGGAACTTAGGAAAAAAGAAAGCATAATGTTCGTGCGAATCCGTTTCTTCTATGTAGCTTCACGACGTGCATGGCTTATATCGAAAATAACATATAATTACAGGTAAAAAAGAATCTTTAATTTCTGTATGTGTTTATTTACTCTCACCGTTTGCAAAGCTTTTAGTTTGAACTTATAAGTAAAGGACAATATATTTAATCAAATCCTTAGAGGGATCACGTTATCAGAGAATAAGTTATGCTGACCTTTTCTATAGCTGAATGAACAGTCCGTGCTTAGATAAGGGACCGTTCATTTTTTATAAGGTAGGGGGGGCTGGTGGGATTTGGGGGGGGGG